ATTGTTTTTTTTTTTTTTAAATAACGTAAGAACTTCATTTAGTTACCATAAGCATGGCCTCATTTGCTATTGTTTTGACTTTTGTCTATGATTTGGTTTTATTTGATTTCTTTATTGCATAAAGGGGACCTCGTTTTATATATTATGGTGATCGAAAATTAACCAAGTCTTTGTTGTGATGATCAAAATACAACAAGTTGGCCCTTGTTGTCCCGTTTGGAATGATTATTTCAATGTATGCATATCGCGTCAAATTATTGGATAAGTCATATATTTGTTTTTGAAAGCATTTTTCTTATTGGTTAAACCGAAAACCGAACCGTTAAAGGCCTAAAACCGATAAACCGAAAACCGATAAACCGAACCTATAATACTTATAACCAAACCGAACCGACCGATACACACCCCTAAATTGAAATCAACAGCCCAAGAAAGCTCAAAAAACCACGATCATGAGAGCCCACAAAGTCCAATTCGACCACAATTATTAGGGTTTTAGTTTTACCTTAACCACCAAGTTAGGATTTTATTTATTAGGTTCAAAATTGTTCATTTAAGATTTTATTAAGACTAACAGCCACCTTATTTATTCTATAAATAAGAGTGTTTTTTTATTCATTCAGAAGACATTACATTGATTTGAACTTTTGGGAGAATTCATATTAAACCTTTACTAGTTTCATATAGTTTAAGGTATAAAGTAATTTCTTCTTGTAATATCTTTGATTTCTTTTTTATTCGCTTTAGAAGGTGATTAGTTTATACATACTAATTATTGTCTTTAGTTACTCATAAAGTGGTCAAGATCCAAATCTATTGTTTTGACTCGTTTTCTCAAGTGAAGGCGTTAGATATCTTCCATACGTATAGATTTATGGTAAAATCTAATGTCTTTACCTGAGAAAACAAATCAAAATGATAGATTCGGATCTTGATCATTTTGTGAGTAACTAAAGACAATAATTAGTATGTATAAACTAATCATCTTCCAAAGAATACAAAAAAGAAATCGAAGATATCACAAGAAGAAATTATTCTATACCTTAAACTATGAAACTGGTAAAGGTTTAAAGATGAATTCTCACAGAACATGTCACAAAGGTTCAAAAGAACTCTCTCAAATATTATTAATATCAATGTAATATCTTTTGAATGAATGAAAAATCACTCCTATTTATAGAATAAATAAGGTGGTTGTTAGACCTAATAAAACCCTAAAAGAACAATTTAGAACTTAATAAAATAAAATCATAGCTTGGTGGCTAAGGTAAAATTAAAAGGAAAAATTACTTAAATACACAACACTTCTTTACCTATTCTCAATATTTCCCTACTCTTTCATTAAAATACAAAAATCCCTTATTTTCCCCCAATTCAACTTAACCGGATACTTTATTAGTTTAAGTATCCGCCCATTATTAATTAAAGTATCCGCGCTGATATATTATGCATCCGCCCGTTAATTAAGTATCCGTGCTGCTAACAACTTAATAATTTAAGTATCCGCCCGTTATTAATTAAAGTATCCGCGCTGATATATTATGCATCCGCCCGTTAATTAAGTATCCGTGCTGCTAACAACTTAATAATTTAAGTATCCGCCCGTTATTAATTAAAGTATCCGCGCTGCTATATTAAGTATCCACACTGCTATATTATGTATCCGAAAAACACTAAAAAAGGGATTTTTGGTAATTAATGAAAGAGTAGGGAAAAGAAGTAATTTCTTTCTTATACTATGTCATTTGCCTAATTTTTACAAATTAAAACCCTAATCATTGTGGCTGAATTAAGGACTTTGTGGCCTCTCTTGGTCGTGACTTTTGAGCCCCATTTAGGTTTGATTGGGTTGTTGATTTCAAATCCACTTAAGGGATGAAATTGACCTTCTTTTGGGCCGATTTTGAGCCTTTTGCACACTTTGAACTTCTTCAAGGCCGAACTTTGGACCCAATATTCCTTCTCTTGGACTTCAACTTGGGCCACCAAATAGTTGTAGCACTTGGACAGTTCATCTCCCTTGGGCTTGAGCTCTTCTTCCTCAACAAGACACATTTGGAATATCATCGATTGAAGCCCATTGAACTTATCATTGAACTCCTTGGTTTGAGATATTGTTATGAGCCTCAATGGAGTTTCTAAAGTTCCATCATTTTCCTTCAATGGATTAGAGCTTCCTTGGATGCTATCACCCCGGCTCAAGGCAAAACCAGTTCAAAAAAGGCAATGATGAAAGTACAATAGACTATAGATAGTAACAAAATAGTATTACAACAAAAATAATATAATAAACAAACTACATGAAATAATAGATAATCACATAAATCGAAGGACATGAAACTACAAGAGTAGTCCTACGACGGCTAGTAAGGGCAACAATTCTTGTGTTTTGGATTAGAGCTTCCTTGGATGCTATCACCCCGGCTCAAGGCAAAACCAGTTCAAAAAAGACAATGATGAAAGTACAATAGACTATAGATGGTAACAAAATAGTATTACAACAGAAAACAGTTTATGCTTTCAACAAAATACTATGGCTTCATTGAATTAAGAGTCGAAGACATAAAAACTAATTTAAGGTATGAACATACAACATACATTTGCAAAGGAGATAAACAGAGTTCAAACTTAATTCAACTCGGATAATTCGTGCAATATCAGACTATTTTCTGTAAAAGATACAAACGCGCACACACACACAACTGCATTGCATATTCATATTACATAGAGGACATTACTGGAATTCAAAGGTACCAATTTCAAATCGATTTTTTTTGAAAATATAGCCTATAGAGGTATATTAGTAGGATAATCATTTGGTCGTTTGTTTATCGCGTCTCTAATATTCCTCTCTTGTTCTTGAAGATGTAATGGGATTTAATCATAAACATCAGTAAACAAATCTGTCAAGGGAGGTTTCTCTGTTTCCTCAGCTTTTTCAAGTGCTTGCAACACCTACATTAATTTTTTTTTAAAAATCAACAAATACTAGAATAGAATAAAAAACAAATCAAATCGATTACATTTTAGGATTTTTGAATCTTGAACCTGCTCTTTGGTATTTCCCCGGAATTCTAGTTCCTCTTCATCACTCCACCAACCATTTTTCTGTATCCATTTCCTGAATCTGGATACTGAGCATCGTCTTCTCCAGTACTCGCTTTCCTCCCTGGATCGATACTGAGTTGCATCATGAGACGATGCATGGTCGCTTACTCGATAAGCTATGGCCTAATAAGTGTTACAAATGGAAGTTTTATAAGCATGAAACATACACAGGAATAATAGGAATTGCTGAATTTCACACCTCTACAATTATTGGCCTTTGTTCCTTTATTGCCATTTTGCGAGCTGCACGAATAGCACTATAAACTGCAAGGGCATCAGTGCCATCCACACGAATACTTCGAACTCCATAAACTTGCCCTTTAATCGCGATTCCATCACCTACCTTGGAAAATATTTAGGAGCAATGTAGCTTAAGTTATACCGTGTTTGATATGATGCAAGTCATTTTAGAAAATATTTGTCGAAAATGACTTTTGAAAGCATTTTTGGGGGAATATTTTTCACCATACCAATTCACACCCTTATAACAGATGGAATTGAGTTTAGGGGAATACTTCGGAATTGTTCGTTGACAGGGGTGCTAACGGCCCATCCATTATTGCGGCATAGAAATATAACAGGAGCTTCAAGAACTGCCGCAAAATTCAAAGCAGCATGGAAATCTCCCTGAAAATAATTCAACATAAAAGCTTATTAAATGCGATATAAAGAGGCGAAAACACCAGATTATATGGAGGACAGGAGGGAGTAGTACTTAATTCAAAAATCACCTCACTAGTAGTACCATCTCCAAAATAAGTGACTACACAAGCCTCCTTTTTATCCATTTTCAGCGCATAAGCCACGCCTGCAGCCTGTGGAAGCTGTGTACTGGGGAAATGAACAATATAAGTAAGGAGTACTTAATGTGTGTGCGCGAGAATTGAGCTTGTTAGAACCATAATTTATTGGCATTTGCCTGCCTTTGTGTGTGTGTCATCTGAATCAATCTTGTGCTTGGAAAAAGATTCTTACGCGAGAGTTGAAGAGACGGTGAAATAATTGAGCTTGTTTGAACCATACATAATGTATTGGCATTTGCCATCCTTTTCCATTATCATCCTTATTTCCAAGCAATTGATTGGTAAATTCTTTCAGGGTGAAGCCACGCCATAATAGAACACCGGGCTCCCTGTACTACAATCGTAATAAAAATGTTTAAATTTTCATCTAGCATTTTAAGAAGCATGTGTGAGGCAGAGCGTTTTACTTGACATGTGGCGAAATATAGGGAGTTCAAGATTATTAAATAGTCGAATTTATGAGTAATTAGGACAAAAAAAAGTAGTTCAGACGTATATTAAAAAAAGCATGTGATTTCTCGGGTGATCACTCAACTACAAAATTCACCTTTTTTCTTGATTTCAATTATTTTCAACAAAAGAAAGTAACTTTCTGAGATAATAACTATTAACTAAGTGACCATCTGAGAAAAAACACGGCATTTTATTAGTATATTAGGAGTTTGTGATAGAACAATGAAATGTGAGAAATAAGACCTGAGGTAAGACAATGTCATCTGTGGTGAGTGCAGCAGCAGAAGCTATGTTAATGACTTCTTCTCCAACAGTGGCCATATACAAGGATAACCTCCCCTGTTTTTGTGCTTCATCAAAAATGTGGTCCATTATTTGAAGGGTCACCATATTTCTATACATCTTCACTGCCAAATCTTTCTTCACCTAACAAAACACCAAACCACATGTCATACAGGCGCGTGGTTGAATCTTGTGGTTATAAACATGTCATGAAGAAGGTCGGATTTAAAATAACTTTCACTAATACATGTATTAGATTTCGTCCTACCAAACGACTCGTTATTGGTTTAGTATTAACACAATGTAGGAGTAATTTTTTCCTGAATTGAAATTAATTACCTGTTCTGTTGAGATACAAGAAGATGTAAAGGGCTGTTAAAGTTAGTTACAAGTAGGAAGGGTAGTTTAGTCCTTTCACTGTATGGTAGTTACAACAACTTGACAAGTTGATTAGTCAGAAGTTAGTTACAGAAATATGGATCTGTATATATATATCCTACAGATCATGTATCTAGTTATTCTTTCAGTCTCAATACAATGAATTTTCTTCTTTCTTAGTTCTCTCTTTTCATGTTCAAACTCTCTCAAGTTACGTTCATGGTATCAAAGCCTTATGCTTCACAGTGAGTACTGCTGAAGTTGGTGATATTAGAATCAAAGAATCATTGTTTTGATTCACAGATTCATGTTTTGTTTCTGTTCCGTTTGTTGAAAGAGATTTGCAGATCAGAGCTTCATTCGAAGCCAGAATCTGCATTCAGTTTCAGCTTGATCTAGTATCAAATTCCAGATTCATGATGGAGAATGAAGGTGTTCTTGCAGCTGGATCACAAAGCAGTTCACTAAGAGGTATTCCTCAAAGCAGCAATGCTATGCAAGGTCAAGGTATTGACTATAATCATCCCTTATTTCTAGGTCCTACTGATGTCAGTGGACTGAGTCTTATCTCGTTTCAATTGCTTGGAATTGAAAACTATACCTTATGGAGTCGATCTATCAGATTGGCCTTATTAGGAAGGAATAAAATTGGATTAATTGATGGTTCTGCTAGGAAGGAGGTGTTTGGTGAGAAACTGTGGGGGCAATGGGAAAGAGTAAATGTTGTGGTGTTGTCATGGTTGATGAACTCTGTATCTAAGAGTTTATTAAATGGGATTGCCTTTGCTTCTAGTGCACTAAATGTCTGGGTTGATCTAAAAGAAAGATTTGATAGAGTGGATGGATCTAGGACCTACAGTTTACATAAGGATATTGCCTCACTGCAACAAGGAACTGTCTCTGTGTCTGAGTATTATACAAGACTCAAAACCTTGTGGGATGAGTTTGAAGTGTTAGTACCTGCTCCTTGTTGTAATTGTGAAAAATCAGTAGGTTTTGTAGCTCATATGAACAGACAGAAATTGTATCAGTTTTTGATGGGCTTAAATGACTCCTATCATCAGGCAAGGAGTCAAATTCTTATGATGGATCCACTACCAACCATTAACGGTGCCTATGCGATGGTAGTTGGAGATGAAAGGCAAAAGGCTGTTGTTACTAGTACTAATAGTATGGGGATGACTTCTGTGGGTCTGGATTCCTCAATTGCTATGTATTCTAAGACTGGTGGAAGTTTAGGAGTGAATCAGAGGTTTAAGAAAAATTCCTTTCTAGTATGTGATTTCTGCAAGTGCAAAGGCCATAGCAAAGAGTTTTGTTATAAAATTGTAGGCTATCCTCCAGATTTCAAGTCTAAAAGGAAGGTTCAAGGAAATTTTCCTTCACATACTGGTAGTTCCTCATTCCAACAGTCATCAGTACAGGCTAACTTCACTAATGACAGAGATATCAATTTTCCTCCACAACATCAACAACATTCTAATACTAATGAAGAAACTCACAAAGCTCCTAGCAACATTAATTCAGTAAGTCAGGCTGAAAGAGAGGTTAAACAACTTCTGCAGGGCTGCACATTTACTAAAGATCAGTATGATCACATTCTCAAAATGTTCCAAAAGGAGGTAGGTTCTTCATCTACTTCGGTGTGCAATACTGCAAACACTACAGGTAAGGCATTCTTTGTTTCTGAAAACAGTCAAGTCTGGATTATTGACACTGGTGCAACCAACCATATGGTTTCTAGTTTGGATATGTTGGTCAGTAACTCAGTTTCTAAACCTAAAACACCTAAACCTGTTTATCTTCCAAATGGTGATACTACTCAAGTGTCACATGTTGGTTCTAGTGCATTGTCAACTAGAAGTGTGGTTACAAATGTCTTACATATTCCTGAGTTCAAATATAACTTGCTGTCAGTGAGTCAAGTCACAAAGGAGTTAGGATGTTCAGTTACTTTCTTCCCTCACTTCTGTGTTTTCCAGGAGCTTTACAGTGGGAAGGTGAAGGAAGTTGGTAAAGAAGAGGGAGTTCTGTACTTGCTATTACAACATCTCAATACTGGTGTTGGTGTCAAGAAAGAAAAAGAGGCTGCATTTGTTGTCAATAATGTCAAGGAGTCAGATATGGATCTATGGCATAAAAGATTAGGACATGTGTCCTCAGGAGTTCTTAGTCGCATGTTTGTTATGAATAAGCAGAGTATATGTAGAATTTCCCAGTGTTCAGTATGTCACTATGCTAAACAAACAAGATTAAAGTTTCCTTCTAGTTTTATCAAAAGTGTAGCTTGTTTTGACTTGATACATGTGGATCTTTGGGGGCCTTATAATACACCTACTATTGATGGAAACAAGTATTTTCTTATAGTTGTGGATGATTTCTCCAGGATGACTTGGTTATTTCTGCTGAAACATAAATCATCTGTGTGTGTTTCTCTTAAACTGTTTATACAGTTTGTTAAAACTCAATTTGGAACAACAGTCAAGTCATTAAGGTCAGACAATGGTACTGAATTTGTCAACATAGTGTGTGATACTATGTTCAAGGAGTTAGGGATTATTCATCAGAGGTCCTGTCCATATACCCCTCAGCAAAATAGAGTGGCTGAGAGGAAACACAGGCACCTACTTGAAGTTACTAGATCTCTAAGATTTCAGGCCAAAATACCTTTGCAATATTGGGGACAGTGTGTGCTAGTTGCAGCTTATCTTATTAATAGGATACCTAGTAGTGT